ATCTGGGTTGGATCCCTGGGTTGGGAAGACACCCTGGAGAAGGAAATGGCAACCCACTCCAGTATTCTTGCCCGGGAAATCCCATTGACAGAGAAGCCTGGAGGGTTACAGTCCACGGAGAGGCGAAGAGTTGGACACAGCTTAGATACTAAACAACACAATTACATGTTGTCTGTTTCTCCCCATTAGAATATGAGTTCCCGACACAGAAACTAAATTTTATTTAATGCTGTACCACTAGTGCCTAGGACAGCCTGACACACAATAGGAGCTCAATTAATAATATCTGAATCAACGCATGAATAATTAAATAAAGGGCAATTCCCATTACTATTATTCTGGTTTGATAAGTGTCTGTTTCTTCAGAAATTTAGTGGGCTTCTCTTTCATTACATACCTGCTATGCCTAAGGCCTCTGCTCAATGCCAATTAAACAAGTATTGACAAGACATGGACTCTACTCTCAGGAAACTCCTAAACCTGATAGAGATATAGTAGTGTTAGAAATGTCTTTTCACTAATTTAAGCTCTATCAATGCGATTTACCTATCCAAGTTCTCCTGTACTATACCAATAAAAAGGGCTTAGTCCCTCTTCCTGCAGATATTTGAAACCAGAGATCGTGGTCTCCTGGGTCTTCTTGTCCCCAGGCTAAACAAAAAAACCCATTGGGACTGTCTGACTCAGATCTGCCAACTGGGAACAGGAAAGACAGACTGTCGGCCGGGGAGAGAGAAGAGAAGCAGATCCAGGAGCAGACTGACTCCTTCAAAGAAGAGAGACAGTCCTTGGGGAGGACTCCACGGAATTAGGTTGGAGGATGGGGGTGGGGACAGAGCCCTGCTAATTAAGGCAGTAGAAGATTATGTTTCCGTAGAAGAGCAGCTCACTGGGAATTACCCCTAAATCTATCCATGGTAAACCCAGACAAAATCATGGCTGCTGAAAGAAAGCCCTGTGATGGAAGGCTGAGGGCACCGGAAGAAACCAGGAAGGATGCTCAAACCTCTAGCCTCAGGACAGATTCCAGCTGGGGAAGGGACAACTAACAACTGCACCTTCCGGTAGCCCACACAAAAACCAAGAAAACCCTGCAGGTTCCATTGAAGGCCCCTGAAAAAAACCTGGGGTAATTTTCTACCAGAAGCTGAAGGGCTCTGTGGGGCTACTGTGGAAATCAATCCTAGGAAGCCTGGAAAACCCTGTGATGGTGATGGAGTTTTAAGGGCAACTTCAAATGTACCTCCAGAAGAACCGGGTGTTTTGAGGGGGAGCCCCTGAGACACTTCTACCTCACTTTGGGACCTGAATGAGATTACTAAAAATTTCCACGTTTGGGGTTTCTAATGGGGTTTCCCCAAGAAAACCGCAGAATTGCCAACAGCTGCTGAGATCTGCAAAGATCGCTGAGGTGCTTCAGCAAGGCATACATCAGTGCCAATGAAGCCAGAACAGTCAAGAAGAAACCTACGGAAACTAAAAGACCACAGAGCCATGTAGCCTGGGGAAAGGCCAAACGATGTTTTCTTCCCCCACCCCCCAAAAACTGTTCAACAATGGTGTTTCCATTAAGTTAAGGGGTTTCCCAGGGACAGTGATCCCAAAATGGCCTGGCCCACCTGGGTCCTACCACCTAACTGTCCACATTCCCATTGGAAAGCCCCAGAAACATTCAGTCTCTACTACTCTGGCTGAGTATCTCAAGGGCTGGCTTTGTGTCTTGAGAAACTCTGGGGGCAAAGTTCAGTTTTTGGAGGCTGGTAGCCCACTCATTAAAAGAAGTGCCTCGACCATACAATTAAGGCCCAGGAGAGTCTTTGTTCTACATCATTTACTAGAGTCAAGCTATGGCAGGTGGCTATCATTAGTTCATTTTACAGGTGGGAGAGATGAATGGACAAGAGAGACAAACAGGTTCAGCATCTTGCCAGTGGACTCTAGGTAAGCAGTGGTGTGGCTATACAGATGAGGAATTTCAGTCCTTGGGGCATCACCCACAATTAAGTAGACATACCTGGAGCAGGCCATCTTCTCCCTTTATGCATACAATTCTTATCTACTGGGAGGGCCAGAAGTTTTAACAAAAAATTAACAAGAAGCCCACTCACACTGGGCAAAATCCTGTTACTGAATTGAGTTTTACCAGTGACAAAATCTAGAAGCTACATACATGCCTCTGGCATCCTGCTACCACCAACACAGGGGCTGTTCTTCCTGCAGTTCCTGAATAAGGCCAGCATCACAGACTCAAGTGAACACCTCCACAGGCACGTTTTGCTTGGCCGAACAGCGTCTCTAGCTCACATTATTACTCCTAAGACAATGTGATATGGAGGGGAAGAGATTATAGGCTTTGGAGTCACGCCCACCTGGGGTAAATTCTCACTCAGTCACTTAACTGGCTGATGAATACTTGGGGCCAGTCATTTAAGCTACCAGGACCTTCACATATAAACTGAGAATAAACCTACCTACCTTAGAAAGTTATTGTGTGGAATATATGAAATAGCATGTCATTTCCATGAGAGAAAGTACCATATCTGGCTTATAGCCAATACCTAGCACATGCCTGCCTCATAGAAGATGCTCAGTGAATTTTGGCTGCATAAGTAAAAGACCTAATACAATGCCTCATGCATAAGATATACTCTGTAAAAGCTCATTTCCTTTTCCTTTCCTGCAAGGATGCTAAATTTAGAGCGTATCCCAGAGTGGAATGGTCCATAATTCTTACATTCTTGGATCCCCCAGGCACAGCCTCCAGGAACCAGTGTGCAGCTCAAACAGAATGGTCCCTGAGAGGAAGTGGGCGGATACCTTCTACCCAAAGGATCCCAATGTCACATGTTCTCTACCTCCTGGCCTTGGGAAGAACACAAGCCCAGAAATGGTTCTGGCATAACTGGCTCTTCTGCACACATCCCCTCTGTCCACCAAGAGTAAGTAACATATGGTATGCTGTCCAGTGGGCTCTGATAACTCTTGGGCAAAGAGACAGCAGAAGATGGAATGTCAATCCAGTGGTGATCTAATGATCTTGCCCAATGTTTCTGTGTCGAAGACCTCTTTCCACACGCAACACTGGGTGACTGACTAACAACTCTTGGTCCAGGTGGCCCTCTTAGACACCGGCTGGCAGGCCAGGAACCTCTCCCACATTGCCTTTTGTTAACAGTTGGCCACAACCCACATGGTATTAGGACCACCAGCCAGAGATAACAGTGAGGGGCAAAACGCCCAAGTCTCTACTTAGGCCTCAGAGGGTGTGTCAGAAACGCTGGAATCCTGTCCCTCCTGTAGTAAGTTAAACAAATATTTGCCCCTAAAGAGAATCAAAGGAGGAGGGAATAAGAGAGATCATCACACAAACCAACAGGAACTATTTAATCATTTATTCCCCCAGGGAGTTCATTTACTGAAAGGCTTTCAAGTCGGGTTAGTCTTAGCCAAAGAAAGCCCTCCACCTTTACCTTCCCAGCCCCACCCCGGTCACCTGACCTCTACTCTGCTTTTTACAAGAACTGGCAGTGGGAAGAGTTGATGAAGTTGCAAAGAAATGGGAAATAAGACAGGGGGTGGTGTACCTGGAGGTCCCTTGCTCAGTGGTAAACTGAAGTGGCTGCCACACCCTAGGCCCAGCCTCTGGATAATTGCATTCTTAACATTCCTGAGTCCATGGTGCGTGGCCCTTTCCACCTCAGCTCCTTCAATAGATGACTTATTTTCCACAGCCTGCTCAATTTTCAGATGGACAGAATGAATACCTCTCATAGGCCCTACACCTCCCTGAGGCAGGGAGATAAGCGAGGAGATACAATGGAGTTCACTGCAGAAGAGCAAAAGCTGCTGACAGTGACCACAGGTAGAGTCCCTCCACACCAGCTCATCCTGACTTGGTGATATCAGGGCAAGGGAATTCTCTTCCCTGGCAAAGGAATGAGGCACGACTCAGGTTCAGAAAGTGTACCTGGGTCTGACAATAACTACGAGAGCAAACTTCCTGTCACTGTGCTCACATCAGCTCCAAGATTTACAAGGACTGCAAGGCAAGGAGGGTTGGCCACATTTTTTTAGTGGAAGAACCTGAGGCTCAAGGTAAACTGGCCTGTCCAAGGTCACACACCTAGTTATGTGACAGGGCTGGGACTCACCCTGTGTCAGTTGGTTTCTGAAGTCTGTCACTGAATCTCAATGTCCCAAGGAGCCCCAAAGACCAGGTTCTTGCAGTGCCAGCAAATAGTGCTCAGTGAAGAGGCCACAGGGCCGTGGCAGAAAAGTGACAAGCATAACAGCTGGAGCTCCCCAACCAACCCCAGGCAGTGAGGTGCAAAGTCCCTGCGCTTATGCGTGACACAGCAAGAGCTCCGCAAACTGGCCAACCACACAGAAAAGTTGCATACTTTAGAGCCAATAAACATGGGGCACAGCACAAATACAACTGGCCCACTGGCACAGCTTACAACCTAAAATCAGACAATCCTCAGCCATCCAAGCCAGAGGGATGCAAAGCCTGGCCAAGCAAACTCTGAAATAAAAGGAACTTGATCTGGAGGAGGGAAGCCCAGGACAGGATTGACATCTCAAGGGAGTAAGACTAAAGGGGCTGGTGGGTCACTGATACTATCTTCTCCAGGCATTCCACTCATCACCCCTTAACATTGTGAGCCATTATGTCAGGGTGAGGGGTAACCTGTTACCTTTGCATTCTCAAAGGTTTGGGGCCAAATGAACACACAGTCTATGTTATCTTCTGCAGAGAAACTGGAACACAAGTATGACAGAGAAGGGTCACGAGGAAGACCAGAATGAAGATGTCTGGTCCTCACAGAACTAGGTCATCTGTATTTCAGAAGAGTTAACCTCTGTGATACAATGAGGCCAGTTATGTCTCCTTAACAAACAATAATAATCACCCAGCACAAAAGAGACACAGGGGAAAGGTTGCTGGGGATTTGACCAGAAGCCAAGGAAAATGAATACACAAGGGGCGTGGTTCTTACCCAGCCGCCGTTCTCCTGGATCCAAGGCTCTAGGTGGTCATTCAGGTAAGTGGCCATCCAAGTTGCGATCCGACTCACCAATACCTGCATCTCCTTGTCTACGCTTTCCACGCACAGTGCCCCACCGAAGGAGAAAAAGGCCACAATGCGACCCCAGTTCACCCCGTCCCGGAAGAGTTCATTCACTACCTGTTCAAAGCTCTGATAAGCTGTCCCTGGGGTGATGTGGAGCTGGGATGTCAGGTCGCTGAATGCCCGTCGGTACCTCAGTTCAAACTCATCGCCTGCCTCCCTCAGGGCTTGCTTCACCGCCGCCATGGGGATCACTTCCCGGGCATCCAAGCTTCTGCTGTGGCCAGTGGCTCCATTCACCGCAGGGCTATCTGCCAGGTGCCAGGATGGGTTGCCATTGATGGCACTGCGGGTTTCCATATCTGATTCTGTCCCTTCTGGGGCCTCAGTTCTGTTCTCTTCCACATCATTAAACTGACTCCAGCTGTATCCTTTCTGGGAAAGCTTGTAAGAGAGAAAGTCAACCACCAGCTCCCGGTTGCTCTGAGACATTTTTATAATAAGGATGGGCTCCACCAGTCCATTGTCCAAAACACCTGCTCACTCACTGGGTCTGGTCTCTGCTTAGTGGTTCTCTTCCAAGATCCAAAGCCAAGATAAGGTTCTGAAGGGAGAGAAAGAGCTTCAGGGGAAAAAAAAAATGAATATGCAAGCCATTTACCTACAACATCCCATTTCCCACTCCAGGTACTCAACTGGGTTCTTTGCCGCTCTTATGAAGATCTGGGTCTAGCTTCCCAGGTACTTCAATGAAGTCAATTTGAAAGCACCAGTGGGTTCTGAATCATCACATCGGCCTTTTTTTTTTTTCCTCCCCTTTTATCCCAGCCACCCCCTTTTCTCTGAAATGTCTTCCTCGAAAAGTCACCCCCATGCGCAGTCTGCCCCCCACCCCCATACCCCCTCACCACCTACATTCAAATCCGTCTCAGGCGACGGCAGGCAGGTGCAGCCCCCGGAAGATCTTTTGTATCATAGGTGGGAGAGGAGGTGGCAGCGGGGATGCCGGTAAGTCAACCGGCCTCGCGGCGGCGGCTGGCAAAAAAAGCAGCTCCGGCTGGAGGGATCATGCGACCCGGCGGACTGAGAGCTCAGGAGGCGACACAGGAATTACGAAGCTCAAGAACCGGCCCCCTCGCTTGCTTCCTCCTCCATCGCCCCGATCGAGGGCGGCCGCTCAGCAGCCGCGGCCTCCTGCCACCCGGGAGCCCAGCCCCCTCGCTCTTGCACGCCCCTTGGCTCTCCGCCTCCTACTGGGAGCTAGGAGAACTCTCTCGGAGGTGGCTGGTGTGAGGTTTAGTTTTTGTTTTTTTGTTTTTTTCTATTTCAGTATCAGCCCTGGATGAGGCTTCCGAAGAAATCCTGAAGGGACTTCTCGATGGGGCTCAAGGTTTCGATGAGAAACAGAGGGAGGGGAACACTGCCTTGGATCTGCGGTCTGACTTTGGAAAGGCCATCCCCGGGCCTTTCTGGGAGGCTGAAAGCCGGAGACCCCCCAGAAACGCCGCTGGCTTTCTCTGAATTCCCCAAAGGCCCTGGTCGTGGCGGTGGGGGATTGCCGGGTCCTCCATTCCCCGCACGGACACAATGGCCGCCGGCGCCCTGCACAAAGACCCGGCGAGGGTGAGGCGCCGAGCTTCTCCACGGGTCAGAGACAAGGGTCGAGGCCTGCTCGAGACCCCCCACAGCTGAGACTACGTTTTCCTGGGGACAGGCCCAGTTCGGCTTCTTGGCACCCCCGGGAGGACTTAGAGGCCCGGGGTTGCACCTCTCCAGAGCCCGGGGTGGGTGGGCTGCGGCCTCGCGGCTTCCTCCGCGCGCTAGGCCGGGTACCCGCCTGGCCACCGCCCCGTTGCTAGGCAACCGCTCTCCCTCAGGGGCGCCCCCTAGACCTTTCTGGGAGGTGGGGTCTCGCCCCGGCGGCCCGCCCCGGCGTAGCCAATCAATGAGCCTAGGTAGCAAGGAAGCAGAACGGCGAGGGCTCCCATTGGGCATAGCGCCTGCCACGCACGGGGGAGGCGGCGCTCTCACCTGCGAGCCCCGCGAGCCGTGGGGGGCTGCAAACCCCCTTCATCGGCCGGGTCGTTTCCGGACGCGAGCGCTCTTCGCGGCCAAGTTCCGCGCCGCGGACTGGGGCCGGCCTACCTGGCTGACGGCTCGCGCTCTCTCTTCCGAACGAGCCAGCCTCAGTTTCCCTGAAGAGACCGGGGGAACTTGCAAGCTCTGTCACTTCCGGTGCCGCGGCAGCGCGCGCGAGCCCGAGACGCAGAGGGAGTGCGCGCCTGGAGGACTGGCGTCAAGAACTGGGCGAGAGCGCCCCTTGGCGGTAGATCTGAGGATTTCAGACACAAGGGGAAAAATGTCTACATTCACATTTGCATGCATTCCTTTGGTCAGTTTAATACACCGATCAGTTTGCATATCGAAAAAGCGTTGCCTTGTGGCTAAGAACCTTGTGTTTGGGATTCTAGTCTTGACGATTTGGCAAGTTACTCAACTGCTGCGCGCCTCAATTATCCTTAACTCTAAAAAGAGTATAAACTAGCCTCCCTCCTTGAGTTATTGTGGTGATTTTAGAGTTGTTATTTGTGAAGTCCATAGTCTGTGCTGCATAAATACATTCAGCAATTATTTATTGTTTCGGTTGCTGAAAAGAGAGTTAGGAACAAGACAAGACATGACCCATGTTTTCATAGAGACTTAAACCCTTGAGGTGGAGAGAGACAGTAAACAACTGAGAAAACCAACAAGGTAATTTCAAATAGTGACTAGGGCTCTAAAGAAAACAAATCAGGGTATTGTCATAAAGAGGGTGAAGGAAGAGGTGGTCCATTAAAATGGGTGCCCTCTCTGCCCAGTGAGGGAAACAGACATTTTGTTTCAACTGTTTTTTAATTGTGTGTGTAGGGTGCCAGAGATGGCCTCTTTGAAGAAATGATATAGAACCCAAGACCAGAAGTTTAAGAATATGCCAACCCATTGAAAGAGTGTAGAGAACATCAACCTTAGTAGAGGAACTGGCTTGTACAACGTGTTCTGAGGCAGGAAGCTTCTGGCATGTCCCAGAAACTGAAGGAGAAGCACTGTGACTGAGGGAGGGCAAATGCGGTGTGAGAGGAGGTTGAGAAGTTTACCGTGGGAATGAGTTGGAATTGATTCTAAACATTGAAAAGTTTTATTTTGTGGTAATTTAGTTGATTAAAAATAGGATATTAAAAATATACCAAAGAGCATAGAAAGTCCTCTTCCCACTCCTGCTTTCTAATCCCTGGTTCCCCTCACAGAGATCATCACAATTAATTAATTAATTTTTCTGCTGACTGTGTGACATGTGGGATCTTAGTTCCCCAACCAGGGGTTGAACCCATGCTCCATGCAATGGGAGCACAGAGTCTTAATCACTGGACCATCAGGCAAGTCTCAGAGATCATCACTCTTAAGCCTTTCTTCTGTAGTCTTTCGGAGATGGTCACTTTATTCACAAGCAAATGTATACGTAAAAATGTTTTACACAACTGGTAACTTGCTATAAACACTTCTACATCTCGCTTCTTTTTGCTGAGCTCTATGTTTTCAGTCTACCCTGATTTTTTGTTTTATTTTTAAAATATTTAAGTATAATTGATTTACTATGTTGTGTTAATTTCAGATGTACAGCAAAAAATTCAGTTATACATATATCCATTCTTTTTTGGACTCTTTTCCCATATAGCTCTCCTTTAATTTTTTAAATTAACACACAACTTCATAAAAATATGGGCTTCCCTGGTGACTCAGACGGTAAAGAATCCACCTGCAATGCAGAAGATCCAGGTTCGATTGCTGGGTAGGGAAGATTCCCTGGGGAAGGGAATGGCTACCGACTCCAATATTCTTGCCTGGAGAAGTCCATGGACAGTGGGCTACAGTCCATGGGGTCGTGAAGATTCGGACACGACTGAGTGACTAACACTTTATAAAGATATGCCGTAATTTACTTGCCAATCCCCTATTTAGGGACAATTAGGTAGTTTCCAGTCTTATTATAAATAAAGCTATAACTTGTTCATTGGTTATTTTGCATATATGGGAGTTTATCTGTTAAGTAAATTCCTGGAAGTGGAATTGCCAGTAACTGAGTATATGAATTTGTTTTTGTTTTGTTTTAATGGATATTGGCAACTTGCTCTACATAGCAGCTGCACCAGTTTGTCCTCCCACCATTAAAGCATGAGAGGGATTATTGCCTCACATCCTGAGCTACACAGGGTGTTATCAAACTTTTTTATCTTCGCCAGTCTGATAGGTAAAAACTGAGAGGCACTTTTATTTTTCATTTCTTTTGATTAAGAGTGAAGTTGAGCAATTTTTCATATTTATATGAGTCTTTTTTTGGGGGGAGGTTTTGTCCTGATGAATTCTCTGTTCATCTTGTTCGCCCTTTTTTTCGGTTGGTCTTTCTGTTGAACTTCTTTCTCATTGATTTGTAGACTGTTTATCCTTTTTTTTTCTCCCCTACGTATAAGTTATCAATAGTTTTCCAACGTATTATTTATTACCATGGAAAAACTTTTACTTTCTATATAATTAAATGTATGAGTCTTTTCCTTTGTGGTTTCCAGGTTCTATGTCATTCTTATGAAGACTTTTTCCAGTTTGACACTATAAAAATAATTCTCTATTTTCTTCTACTTGGTTTCATATTTTACATTTCAATCTTTGTTCCATCATAAATTCCCTTCAGTGTAAGATGTGAGGCAGGAATCCATAAATTTTTTCCAAATAACTACCCAGTTACCCCAGTATCATTATCTTTTCCCAACTCACCTGAAATATCTCATTACCATCGTCTATATTCCCAAGTGTATTTGTGTCAATTTCTGAACTTTTTCTTATGTTCCATGGAAAGGTTTTAAACTGGCACAGGACATGATCTGATTTCCTTTATTAAATCCTGTGGTGTCACAACCATTTCAACGTGGAAACTTTTATTCTGAAGGTCTACGATGGGCTTTGGGAGCCCAGCAGAGGGCAGAGTAGCTGAGGGGCATTTTAGGTGGAAGGCGCTGCCTGAGCAGAGGTGTGGAGTGTTAACAAGAGGGTCTTAGAAATAAGATGTGTCTTAGAAATAAACCAAGATGGCTGAGAGGAAGTGGTGGCAAAGGAAACAATGCAAATATGTTTCCGAGGGTGCTGAACACTAAATAGGCACTGGAGGAGCCAGCCATCCTTTTTGAACGGAAAGGACATGAAGAGATTCATGTTTGGGGAAGATAGAGCATTTGGGGAAGGAAACTTTGCAAGATTTATTAAGATCCTTAAAAATGGTTCTGGAGGGACTTCAATGGTGGTCCAGTAGTGAAGACTCCACTTCCAATGTAGGGGGCGAGGGTTCAATACCTGGTCAGGGAACAAGGAACTAAGATCCCATATGCTGCCTGACATGATCAAAAAAAAAAAGACTCTGGAAAGATCATTGAAAAATAATCTTTGATTGGAATTGAATTTAAGAA